GTCAGTTCAGTTTGCAGATCACTTCCAGTCCAAATAATGCCAGGTCAGTTAAGTTTGCAGGTCGATTCCAGTCCAAAAAGCCAAGCCAAAAGTCGATAGTATGTACGAGGGCCACGTAAGTTGAATTGGGTACGGTGCGCAGTAAACAAAGGAGCAGAGCGTACTGAACCGACTTGCTGAGAATAATAACAGCTTCTCTACCTGCCCTGTTGTTGTCTCTTTTTAACGTAAATATCTCTATCTATCTATCTCTCTCTAACATCTAAGGTATTAATGCCCCATTCGAATTCCTAGAAATTGTAACAGGAACCCATTTTGGGCATGTAGTAAAAGTGATTACTGACAATTACAATTTAAGGAATTTGGCCCCTGTTAAGAAATAATAGGCACATATTTTTTTATAACTTGTTTTCCTAGAGTATTATACCATTTTGGAATATTGGTTAGTTGCGTCAATTTTTAAAAAAACTTGCCATACTAGTGTTCATACTTTTTTTTTACACCACGATAAGTTAAATTTGGTTAAAAGTAAAAGTCTTCAAAAAATTTAGGGAATAAAATAAGTTTCATTAATTTTCGTGATAAAACAAGAGTTATTCTGGAGTTTTTAAGAATTGTGGTAGATAGCAGTACTATTCAGGTTACCTATAAAAAAAAAAGAAAAAAATATTTAAAAAATTGTGGTCATGGTAGTGAAAAATATCATAAACGGTCTCAATTTCTGAAGAATTTCATTTTTTTTATATAACTTAAAATATAATTGGGATATATTTTTTTTTCTTTTTTTACCCGATTAGTCCGGGGCAGGTCTATCCTCCGGTGTTGGCTTATCGTTGAATTTTGGGACACGTTGTATATATATATATATATATATATATATATATATATATATATATATATATATATATATATATATATATATGTGTGTGTGTGTGCCACTTTGCTCGATAACTTATTGACATCTTGTAGGTATTGACATAATCCTGTTGCTGTAAAAATTTTGGGATTTTTGATTTAAAAAAGTGCGGCAAGTAGTTTTGACAGTCCTCTCTTGATGTTAACCGGTTCAGTGCGGATGAAAAGAAAAAATAGTACAAAATGTTTGTAATCTCTGCATTAAAAAGTCACTTACTCTCAATTTCAAAGAAAGCATTTAGAAAAACACGTAGTTACCCACTAAAAACTAGTATCCTTCTGTTTGTAACGGATATTTGATGTCAACTAAACTTAATTAGGTCTAAACAAGTGAAATGCAAAAGCATAAAAAAGATAATTACTTTTACACATGGCTGATGGCACAATAGGCGTGTCATCAACTTCTGAAATATTTGTTGCCGACTAAGCTCTCCCAATTTTTTTACTTGGGTCTGATTAGTTGTTGACAGTAGAGATCCGAATCGATGGTTTTGCCCGGCGGTAAAAGCTCATAATAAGCAATACCTTTCCAATCCCACCATACACACAGCATCACCTTATTGCGTGTTAATCCGGGCTTCGCTAGTCTGTGGAGCTTGACTACCCTTTGACCATGATCTTTTTCGCACGATCTTGTCGTAGGTGACCCACTTTTCATCACCGGTGATCAATCTTTTCAAAAATAATTCGGTTTTATTACGTTTGAGTAGAGAATCGCAAACGAGTACACAATTCATTAGGTTTCTTTCAGTGAGCTCGTGTGGTACCCAAATATCGAGCTTTTTTGTATGTCCAGACTTTTTCAAATGGATCAAAATTGTTTTGTGGTCAATCCTCAATTCCTCGGCTACGTCGTAACTACTAATATGCCGATCTTTCTCCACTTTTTCAAAAATGGCATCGACTTTGTGCATATGAAGGCGATCAGAGCTAGCTGCATATTTCGAGTATTTGACATCAAAATACCCGGACTGAAAACGCTTGAACCAACTTTGTGCTACTCTTACTGACACTGCATTAGATCCATAAACGTCACAAATTTTTTTCGCGGCTTGAGTTGCATTTTAACCTTTTTTGTTACAAAACTTCAGAATGTTGTTTATACGTGGTAGAGCCATTCTGTAGCGATATTAGTAGTACAGTTGTAGCACGAATAGGTCGGCTCGACCGGGTACGGACCACGCTCTCACATAATACCAGCATAAAATTGCAGCTTAACACTGCTGTGTTTCGTATGGTGAGTGTAGAGAACCAGAGGCCCTTTTTACTGGAAAAGAGGCGTTCCATCTTAGTCCTCACGGGTGACAGCGCATCTGCATTTTGATTCGTTATTGAGGATAGATGTAGATGTCTATTGGCCACCGCAACCACTTACCATCAGATGGACTGTCGTTTGTCAGGATAAGATATCCTATAAAATAAAATGTATCGAAATTCTTCGTTAGATTCACTCATTTTGGCGGTCAGAAAACAATTGAAAAATGGCGGGAAAGTGTTTTTTTTTCTAATTATTCTTTTTATTGATGTCCTATATGTATTGATATTAAGAACTGCTTTCTTCAATTTTATAGAAACAAAATACGAAGTAATTTTTCGCCGACATACTATATAAAAAAAAATATAGTCTATATTACATATAAATAAAATTGAAATGTTTGTCTGTAATATCAAAATAGCTGGTTTTTATTAGGCTCAGGGTGTTAGATATGAATAATCACTTTTTTGTCTGTCTCTCTTTACAGGAAAATTTTGGGAATGACTAGACCAATATAAAGAGCAGTTTCAGTAGCGATTTAGGCTAAATTCTATCCGAAAAGCTGATAAAATAAGTGGTTTTTGATGATAATCTCATAAACCCTAAGAAAAAAAATCAAAACTGTTTTGGTTCAGCAACCCGCTTCACCTGTATAATCTATTAATGTAGCATTATTTAGATAACTAAAAGTCCATTTATTATATCAGTTTTTTTAAATAACTTTTTCGAATAACATATAGCTAGATCCCTCCTATCATTGCTTTCAATCTGTTTGTAAAATTTCATCAGTATTGGTTCAGCCATTCCGAAAATTAGCCCAGCAAGCAGACAAAACTTCAATTACTTATATTTATATAATTAAAAACTATTTATTTTATCAAATTATTTTTTTAAATGTCCACAAATAATTTGTGTTAATGTAACGAAAGCACATTGCCATTTATTTATAATAAAGTTTTTTGAAACGGAATGTATAAAACTCACATTGCAGCAAAAAAAATATTTTCATGGTCATTCTATTTAACATTCTATCATCATTTTATAGATATTCTAGCCAAAGAGTTTGTCTTATTTTTATAAATAAAACTATTTCAGTAGACAATGTTTTCATTTATTCAATTTATAACATCACATTTCCTGACTATATTTTTTTTTATTAAGTTGTTAAATTTTAAGTACTATTTTATTATTTTGCCTAAAACGTCAATATTAAAGTTACAGTGAGACCAATCATTGTAAATCCTAAACTTTTTTGTTATATATTATTAATATGATCTAAAAAAAATATTATCTTAGAAAACAACGAGTAAAACGACATTTTTCAGCCTTTCTATTAAAATTGGGTTGCTAATAACTGTTACAAGTGAGGGTAGTAAATAAGTGTGGAAGGAAAATCTAAATCTAAATCTAAATGCGGGCAGAGGGAAAGAAATACTAAAATTTTCACCTTTTATAAATTGTAATAATAACAAATCAAATAATAACATGGATTTTCTAAGAGTAGTTTGTTATTCAGTTAAGCTACAGATATAAACAAGCAGCGTGGTTGAAAAGTTAATTGGGACATATTATATTGCAAAAATGTACCATTTAAAACATTACATATTTTTTAATAGACATTATAAACATTAATAATATTTATCTAACACATATGCCAAACTTAACAAATATACAGGGGCCATAATATGACATTTTTAAATAAAAACCTTTTTTCATCCGAATTTAAACACTGGATTTATGATTGAACCTGTTATAATATACTACAAAAATCATAATATCCACACCCTTAAACATTACCATATTTATTATAGATCCCGATAATTTGGCACCAAATCTCTCACAATTTTTATCTTTACAAACTGAAAAGGAAGTTCAGTATATTTTTATTTAGTTTTATAAATATTTGGCCCCAGTTTTGATGATGATATATAAACCATAACAATATTCATTTAAACCGACTGTAAAAACAAGGTTTTGCAATTTGTACTTAAAATAAGACCTTTGGTACATGTGTTGTATGAACTTTATTATCACATTCAGTACAAAAATATATTTCGATTTTGTAAAGCATATCTTTCAGTGAAAGTTTGTACATAAAAAAAGTTTTTGTTAACTAATATTTATTATGAACGACGAAGTTAAATGAAAAACTAATGACTAGCACCTAAAGGTAAAAATATGTTGTGATCTTTTCTGTCGTTACATAATACACTTTTAAATGCTAATGGGTTGGTTACCCTTAAAATATTTTGTCATATGTCAAATTACACTTTTCATTCTCTTCATACTAAAAATATAGATAAATCATAAATGATAAACTGACATAAAAGGTAGAAATATCAATATATCTTAAAAGTTAATAATAACAGCGGATTTTTTAACCATCAGATAAAATTTATCCATGAAACAAATTATTACATGATATCTGAACCTGTAATTATTCTAAGTTTTAGTTTATCCTATGAATACCTTTATCCAATGATTGAAAAATCAGCCCATAATGAAACAAGTATATTTATCTATCCACAATCACAACCATCCAAAATTTTAAAATTGGGAGTGTTAGAAAATACATTGTTATTTTGTTAATTTTACGAAATACAAAAAACATTTATTTAATTTTCTACTGGACGACTATATACACATTACACACATCAAGAATATATCTTTTAAAATATGTACTCTAAGTATTTAGTTAATTTAGTAATTTTATTAGGATTTTAATATCGTACTTAAAAGATACGGTCTACATTTGTAAAATATATCTTTAAAAATTGGTAGTTACTTACATAATAAGTATACACTTTGATGTGTAATTCTCAAACAGATTTTACTGTGAAATATTTGATGAAGATATCTTATTGTGCAAAAAGTTTATTATGAGAACCGTAATGTTGTCTACAGAACCCCTGTAATAGGCTTGAAGTGTCAAACTTTTAGCTCCAAAATCTGGTTCATCAATTCTTTCTTTGATAAATTTAACAGCTTCTTCATTAGAGAATGTATCCCACAATCCATCTGAAGCAAGAACTAAAAACATAGGTTTGTGGTCATCAAGGTTAAAAGTAAGTATATCTGGATCTGCAATAACAAAATTTTTATCCTTGAGGGGGTAGTCACCCATCGCACGAGATGTTGCTAAGATTCCTGCTACTCTCCACACACCATTAAATGCAATATAACCTCCTGCTGCCTCTATTCGTTTCTGTTCCCTTACCTGTGTGATAAAGAAATACCATACAATCAGATTAGTTACAATATAATTTTAAGAATACAGTTGAAACCTGATATACTGATATTGTTAAGAAAGTCAGATTAAATATTGTGACTAAATGTTTAGGTCCCAGCTGAGTCTATTCATGGTCTGAAGTGCAATGGTACCCAAAGAGATCCTATCACCAAATTCTTAAATAGTTGTGGTACAAGTAAACTAAGGAATGTCTTAAAAAAGTTTATTAAGTTCTTACAGATAAGGAGGAAGAATAACCGTTTGAAAAATAAGATAGGTGATGGAAAAATATTATTATATTCAATATTCCAATTGGCCTCCAATTTTGTTACTTTATAAACTAATTGTAAAGTAATATTATTACCATATTTATTGCAATTTAAATAAGAATTGGACTGACAGGGCACGATATTGTGACGTCATAGCTGTAATACATTAACATAGCTACTATAGCAATTATTACAAAGGTCAAGTGGTGAAGTCACTCTGTAAATAGTAGGATGTCATCGGAAATAATTAAAACTGTTGGAACCGATTCTTCAGAAAATACATATTGAAAGATAATATACGGTATTGTATTACCTATGCTATCTGTACAGGTTAATGGAGAACTTGCATGTTATATTGTGATGACAATGATGATCTAGAAATAGTAATCAAGAATAAATAACATCTTTAACAAAGAGAATGGGACAGAACTAGGCACAAAAAGAGTCACCACCAAAACCATACTGTTATGCATACTACCTATTGAAATCTTTGGTTCTTCAGTAATAAAAAGGATGTCCCATTGTGGAGACAAATTTTAACGAATTTTGTTATTGCTTCAAGATATTTCTACATTACTTAGGATACTTTTACGTGGTACAGCCATGCTGTATCTATATTAGGTGTAGCATGAATAGGTCGGCCCGACCGGTGTAGAAGTACGCTCTCACAGAATACCAGCGTAAAATAGCGGCTTAATGCTGCTGTGTTTTGTGTGGTGAGTGTAGAGAACCGGAGGCCATTTTTAACTAGAAATGAGGCATTCTATCTTAGTCCTCAGGAGTGACAATTATGTTTAATAATCGAAATACATTTTGATTATTAATCAAGGATAAATTTAGATGTCTATGGTCCACAGCATCCACTTGCTTTCCCACCCTTTTGAAAAACGGACATGAATATGTTTCTTACAGCACCATGATTTGAAGGCGGTTTCACATAGATCTGATCTGATGAGATATGCCAAAAAGTGAGAATAACATTTTTCATCAGGTGGACTGTTTATCCCCCTTATTCTATATAAAAAAAAAAAACATTAAAATACTTTCTTAAATTATATTTTTTATTTGTTTTTAATAAATAAACATCTCAGTATCATCATCATCATTACAGCCCTTCACAAGTCCACTGCTGAACATAGGCCTCCCCCAAGGAATGCCACAAAGCACGGTCCTGAGCCACCTTCATCCATCGACTTCCTGCATATCTTACCAGGTCGTCACTCCATCTAGTGGGGGGACGCCCAACACTTCGCCGGCCGGTACGAGACTGCCACTCGAGAATCTTTTTTCCCCATCGGTTGTCGGTTCTTCGAGCTATATGGCCGGCCCATTGCCACTTCAGCTTACTAATCCGTTGGGCTATGTCGGTCACTCTGGTTCTACTGCGGATATCCTCATTTCCTCCATCCTCCATCCTCTGAGTTTATCACGCAGAGAAACTCCGAGCATAGCCCTCTCCATAGCTCGCTGAGCGACCTTGAGCTTCCTCATCCGGCCAGCAGTGAAAGACCACGTCTCAGTTCCGTATGTCATCACTGGCAACACGCACTGGTTGTACAGTCTTGTTTTCAAGTTTTGAAGTATACCTGACGAGAAAATATGCCGTAATTTCCCGAACGCTGCCCAACTGAGTTGAATCCGTCGATTGACCTCTCTGTCGAAGTTGGGACTTACCTAGTCGGACTATTTGTCCCAGGTAAACATACTCGTCAACAACTTCGAGCTTAGTGCTCCCAACAACTACCGGCATAGGTGTGACATGGACATTAAACATGATCTTTCTTTTGTCCATGTTCATCTTAAGAACTATCCGTTGGGAAGCACTACTGAGGTCATTGAGCATAGTGCTTAGGTCCTCCAGCGATTCTGCCATAAGGACTATATCGTCGGCAAATCGAAGGTGAGTGATGTACTCGCCATTGATGTTGATACCGTATTCTTTCCAGTCCAGAAGCTTGAAAACGTCTCCCAATGCAGCGGTGAAGAGTTTCGGGGATATGACGTCACCCTGTCTTACACCTATCTGCAATTGGATAGGTTTCGTACTCTGGTTCTGTACTCGGATAGCCATCGTAACCCTACTGTACAAGCACTTCAGCACTTCGATATTCCGACAGTCCACTTGGCACCGCTGAAGGGACTGCAGCACCGCCCAAATTTCGACGGAATCAAAGGCTTTCTCATAGTCCACATACGCCAGACATAGTGGCAAATTGTACTTTGTACAATTTGCCGAAGGGTATGTATGTGGTCTATGGTGCTAAAGCCTTTTCGGAAACCGGCTTGTTCGGGAGGCTGGAAGTCGTCAAGTCTGCGCGCGGGATGATTCGTAATGACTCTCGAAAACAGCACGTAGACGTGGCTCAGAAGGGAAATCGGCCTGTAGTTCTTCAAGACAGCGTTGTCGCCTTTCTTGAAGAACAAGACCACCGCACTTCTGCTTCACGCCTCCGGTGTAATGCCACGATGTAGGACGGAATTAAAGAGCTTCTGAAGCACTTCAAGTACCGGTTTTCCACCCGCTGCTACTGACCGCATGGACAGTTTCCACGAGGTTGTCATTCATATCGTCCACTTCATTGCAGTCTTCTAGGCACTGAAAACGGTTTTGTAACTCGAGCTGAAAGGTTTCGGGACTTTGGATTAGAGCACGAAGGGGACGGAGCGTTGACTTCATTAGACGTGACTTCTCCAACTTAACGTTTAGGTTCAGTGTGCCTCTAACCATTCGGTGATCGCTGCCGGTTTTCACCCTCGCGATCACTGAGACATCACTGAACAGTTGTCGTCTGGTCGTCATAATGAAGTCAATCTCATTTTTTGTCGAATCTTCGGAGCTCGACCAGGTCCACTTCCTGTGGGGCCGCTTCTGGAAGAAAGAGTTCATCATAAAGAGTCCCTCTTTCTCCATGAAGTCGGCCAGCTGCTGGCCCCTTGGGTTCCGTTGCCCTATTCCAAATTTCCCTACTTTCAGCTCACCATTCTCTCTTGTGTCTAGTTTTGCATTGAAGTCTTCCATTAACACCGTATATTGGGTTTTGGAGGAATGCATGGCTCTAGAGATATTCTCATACATTTCCTCCACCTCCTCATCGGGGTGTGCCGAGGTTGGAGCGTAAACCTGTATGACCTTCAGCGAATACCGTTTGGTGATTCTGAGTAAAAGGTACGCAACCCTCGTCGACACACTCTCAATCTTTACAATGTTGTTAACGAGAGACTTGTGGACGAAAAATCCGACACCTCCTTGGGACAGATGGTCGCCCTCCCGGTAGTAGAGCAAGTTGCCGGATTCGAGGATTACCGTTTCCTCCCCCTCTCTTCGGACTTCGGATAATCCTATAATATGCCAGCGTAACTTGTCTATCTTTTCTTCCAGCTCCACAATCTTCTCGTCAGTCCTCAGGGTGCGTGCGTTGTATGTTGCCAGGTCGAGTCGTCTTAGGTGGCAACCTAACCTCCACCGGAGATTCTTAGCACCCCCTGCCCCGCCGTTACCATGGTCGCCACCGTAGTCAGGAATAGCGGGGCCGCCGGGGACTGGGGGCCGTCTCTTAGTAACTTTATCCATTTGGGGCTATTTGCCATAGTTGCCACGCTTGGCGAGCGGGTTGGCAACCGCAGTTTTTTTTATTGTATTTTTGCTGTAATCAGGAAGACGCTGCTGCCCGTCTCCTGCCCGTTTCCCTTTGTCGCCTCACGGGAAGATATGGGGGTAGTAGATATTCTCAACCGCCACTACACTAAACATCTCAGTATAAAACTTTTAAAATGATTGGTTTTAGTAGCAAAACAACATTGGTGGTTTTATTTCAATGTTCATGGGATATCAATGTTTTTTGGCATACATTAATTGACAACTTAGCATTTCTCTTTAGAATTTTTGACTTAAAAATTCCAAAACACTGGAGTAAGGGGATCTACTGGTGACTTTAAAAAACTAATAAGACCATTTTTATTTATTTATTTAGAACAGACATGTTTTTACATGGCAGAGCCATACTGCAACATTATGGTTTTCCTCCATCTTAGCCCTCAGTGGTGACACGGTATCTGCATTTTGATACTTGATCAAGGATAGATATTATAATATGTATATTAAAGTAAAAAAGGGGATAGATAAAAATATTTATGGGCCTAAGCCTTATGTATAATGCTGCATCAGGAGCATAGTGTGCTCATTTGTCATCCTTATTCTATTAAAAAAAAAACCAAGAAATATACAGTCTCTGTTCCATCTTGGTATTTGAAAAAAAAATGGATAATCAAAAACTGTTCATGTGTGACCTGGCCTAAACTCCATACATTATTGTAACATCTCATTTTTAGAACATTCATGTGCAAATTTGACTTATCCTCCATATGCATTCTTCGGCCTTTGATTGCATAAAATTATGAAATTAATACTTTTTGGCATTTGATTATCGTTTTTAACAACTTTTTACATTTGTAATTTAAAAAATTATATTGTGAAAATTATGAGTTTCGAAATTTTGATATTTTGGTATCTGATACATCTTTACTAACCTTTTTTAATTATATCATAAAAATATGATCATGATTGCCATTATTAAAGCTGAGCCTGCATGTATTATTATATTTGAGTATTAGACTATACATTCATACATAGAAGAGACATTCTGAAGCTATTCATGATTAATTATGTTTGTAGCACAAATGGGTGAACTCAAACACTGAAGGACCACACTCTCACAGAATACCAACATAAAATAGCTGCTCAATGCTGCTGTGTTTCATATGGTGAGTGTAGTGAACCAGATACCTTTTGTACTGGAAATGAGGCAATCCATCTTAGGACTCAGGGATGGCAATGATTCTTAATTGAGGATAGATGTAGATCTATGGACCACTGCATCCACTTACCATCAGGTAAACTATGGGCTAGTTTATTCTATAAAACAAAATATTATTAAAATGGAAATTAATAGAATTAATTATCAAATATCCAATATCCAATGTGAAATTATATTATATTATTTTCGGCTTAGCTTTCCATTGATGTCCGTCGAGTTGGACATTGATATTTTTTTACAGAAAGGATACATTATTATAAGCACACAGGCAAAGTTTCATCATGCGGAAACGCATACTTTTTGAGATAAATATTATTGAAAATCAATTATTTTTACAATATTTATGTCAATTCCTACCATAAAACTGACGCTATTTTGTATTGTCATTGTCATCGTCAGTAGGAATGTCGATTCTTTCCGAAAAAGATCGATTTTTAAATCGATTTGAATTGTAAGCTTTCGATTCATAAAAAATTGATTTCTACAATATCTATATTTTTTCATGTTTGCATTTATAATGTAAATATAAATCAATTTTATGAAAAACAAGAAAGATACCATAATAAATGATCTCTTCTTGAAATTTGTTTTATTTTAACAGTACCTATTATATAGGGCAGATAACAAATAAAATAAGTTAGGTTCAACTTATGTCAAAAAACTGAAAGGATTGACCCCGACTCCACCTGGTACAAGTCTGTTCTACCCCTAGAGTGGTTTTATAGAGCCGGAGGCGCGTAGGAGGAGCAGCCTCCGCTTGCTGTAACTTCCTCGCCTTTGCAGCTTCGTCTTGTTGGTCGCCTTAGGCGACCAGCCTCAGCTGCTATGGCTCGTTCGATGCCTACGATTTGTTATACAAAAGCGTAGAGGCTGCTCTTCCTGCAGCGCCGGAGACGTAGCAGTCTCAAAATAGATTCAGAAATACTGCTGAATCAATCCCCCTATTTTTTTATGATGAAGGGGATTTTTTTCTCATAAAATGGATTTATAAATTGTTATATTTACATTATAAATGCAAACATAAAAAAATATAGATATTTAGAAATCAATTTTTTGTGAATCGATACATCAGCCTACAATTCGAATCGATTTAAAAAAATGGAACTTTTTTGGAAAGAATCAACATCCCTACTGACAACGACAATACAAAATGGCATCAGTTTTACAGTAGCAATTGACATAAATATTGCAAAAATAGTTGATTTTCAATATTCTTTTTTCTCAAAAAGTATGTGTCTCCAGATGTTGAAACTTTGCGTATGTGCTTATAATAATGTAACATTTCTGTAAAAAAAAAAAATCGACCTCTAACTCGACGGATGTCAATGAGGATTGGCATAAATATGCAAAAATAATTGATTTTCAATAATTTTTTCTCAAAAAGTACACATTTCTGCATGGTGAAACTTTGCGTGTGTGCTTATAATAATGTAACCTTTCTGTAAAAAAATATCAACCCCCAACTCGACGGACGTCAATGGAAAGTCGTACCTTATTTTCACATTGGATAATACAATTTTCCCTTTAAGTTTTATGAAATTCAAAATATACCACTGGTATGTCTATAATTACTTACCTGTTGGGGTTTATGGTCAAATGACACAGGAATAGCATTTCCCTTAGAGTCACACATAACACCTCTGGAATCACCGACATTTGCAACAATAAGGTGATTGTCTTCTAAAACAGCTATTAATGCAGTAGTGCCGGCCACATTTAATGATCTTTTTGCTGCTTCAACAAGAAGTCTATCTGCAGCAAGAACTTCGTCTGTCAATAGTTTGCCAAAGTTAATCTTTCCCTTTTCTAAATAACTTGACAAAGGTACAGTTATATTTTTTACAGGTTTAGTGGTTGTTCTTACTTCTCTAGTAATAGGTCTAGCTTTAGAAAGTTGAGCTAACAATTCAGGATCAGTTATTTCCTTTTTAGAAGAATCATCAGCAGCGCTTACAGATTTTTTAAAGCTGGTTTTTCTTTCAATACTGACATTAATCTCTTGCTCTTTTTTTGGTGTTTCTTGACTATCATGTGAAGGCGGATTAATTATTTTTCCGTCTTTAAATGCATTTAACTCAACTACTTTATTGTACAGATTTTGTATCAAATGATCTTTTGCGTAATTAGCAGCAAATTCACCACCATGTCCGTCAAATATAGCGAAGAGTGAAATTCCTGTGTTATTTATGTTTTCATTAATAATGAATTTATCCTCCATATGCATTCTTCGGCCTTTGATTGCATAAGCTGCACTTAGTGAGCCCTTTAATTCCCAGCTTTGTTTATCTGAACTTGAAGCTTCCATAAGTTTCATACGTTGAACAGCACTTAGAGGATACAAAGCTTGTGATAATCTGCTTAGTAGTGTACGACTCCATAATTCAATTGTTTGTAGATACATGAACAATATGATAATACCTAATGTGAACACGACAACCTCCGACCGTAGCAAATACAGACGCACCATTTTCCATAAATAGCTCACCGGAGTATCAAACGCAATACTACTGGTAAAACGTGAAAATATTTTCATGAACGAAACATAAGTTTGATGTAAAACTCTATCCTCTAATTCGTCTTCCATGTCCTAAATATGTAATAAGCCCCACGTATTAAAACTATCAAATAATTGCGATTTGCGCCTATTCACCATTTAAAATTTATAATTTATATTTTATTTTTATCACAACCACTTGACCACTTTTTTTTTTAGAGTTTATGGCCTGGTATCTAGACCTTTAGGCCATCACTTGTCCACTTTTTTTTTGGAGTTTATGGCCTGGTATCTAGACCTTTAGGCCAAGTCTTAAGTATTTTTATTCGGTTTATTGTAATTTCCCCACTCCTTCATAGTATATACTGCTTCACAATATGTTGATGCGTCACATTGTGCAGTTCTTGGGAGATTTTGGCGGCAACTTGATCCAGCAGACAGCTGATAGTTGGCGATGGTATCTAAAGGTGCCTATGCAAACAAACAGCTTATCTTGAGAATCCATCACCATCAGAGCACTTGTTTCACTGTTTCCACTAATAGTTCACATGCGTAGACACTTAATACACAAAATCGTAACACTTTTACATATCAAAGTCCACTTCAAACCATTATTTAAACAATAATACAGGAGCAGCAAACCACCGCCGGTCAATTTCCCGCCAAAACTCCACTTGTCCACTTGTATTTATTCAGTGTTGTCATCGGAAAAATCTGAATTGCCGTATGTCATAGTCTGGTTTTCCGTATTTTAAGGAAAAATTACTAAATTGCAGTATTTATGAATTATTTGTGTAAAAGTCTATTTTTCTTTTATTTTTCTCCATAAAGGTTTTTTATCGTTTCTATCACTTCAGACTAATATTTATCTAGTGAGTGTTTGTCATTGTTTCTCATTTTTCTACCGACTTCAAAAATGAGGAGGTACGCTATTCGGCTATTTTTTTTTAATGTGTGTTACTTCAAAACTTTTTTATGGGAAAACCGATTTCAATGATTGTTTTTTTTTATTTGCTTTTCATGTGGTCCCATATAAATTTGATCAAGACGTGACTAATAGTTTTTGAGTTATTCTTAATAATTTATATTGAAGTCGGTTGTACAAAATTTTTAATTTTAAATTATTTACAAACTACTTACTCTAAATATTTTATCTCTATAGTTTTTGTTATCCATTAATTTGTTGTGCCTTTTAGTTAAATGGTAAATGTTAAATTTAACAAAAAGTATTTTTCTTTAAATATTCTAATACAAATCACTGACATGACATACAATCTTGCACACGTTTTAATATATCACTATCAATACTAACAATGTTTATTTTGAAATCAAAATATTCACGAAATGTTTGCTCCAGCAATTCAACAAATGTGATAAATTTTCTGAAAAGTATGTATGTAGGAGATATCTATCTAATACATTAAAAATAATAAATTATGTGACAAGGACTGTACCTATCATGCCTAGCGCAGTTGTATGAAGCTTTGTCTCAGTTTCCTTCCTTTACTCATGTGTTACATATGTTTAATTTCATTTTAACACTAAAAATGCTTCATTTTACTTTATGGCCAATTACCGTATTTTGTGATACGGCAATGACAGGCCTGCCGTTCGCCGTATTTTCTGAAAATGACCATGCATTGCCGAACAATACGGCTATTGTCGTATTAATGGCAACACTGTAGTCGTAATTAACCAAAGATTAATAGTTATTTACATTATATATCAAGCATAGAATTAGAATATACTGCGTATCTAGTATACGACAGTTACTCTTTGGTATCAAGCTAAAATATTATGTAATATATTGTATATATATATATATATATATATATAATTACAAATGAATAAATAGATTTAATAAAATAAAAGCAAATTGAATGCAGTGGAGATGCGATCTCTTCGTAAAATGTGCGGCGTTACCATGGCCGACCGAAAGCGAAACGAAGAGATTCGCAATATGGCAGGTTTGAAAGATGACCTTATCACAAAAATTGATAAGGGCGTGCTTCGGTGGTTTGGGCACGTTGAGCGAATGAGTGAAGACCGAATGGTGAAGAAAATATATAGCGTGAAAGTTAATATTAAAAGGTGTCGAGGTAGACCGAGACTAACTTTCGAAGACCGTGTGAGCAAATTGCTCGAAGAGGGTAGGGTCAAGAGTACTCGGATACCTAGACGTGCATGTATGAAGAAGATAATGAATCTGAAAGAAGCGAAAGAGGTATGTAAGAATCGTGACACTTGGAGATCTGTTCTCTCTGGCTACCCCGTCAGGGATTGTGCGTGAAGATAAGTAAGTAAGTAATAAATAGATTTATAATTAATATTTTTCTTGAACCACTTTTTTGATGAACTTTTTAATCGATTATATATTTAAATCGGTGTATGGCTACAATATATTACATAATATTTTAGCTTGATACTAAAGAGTAACTGTCGTATACTAGATACGCAGTATATTCTAATTCTATGCTTGATATATAATGTAAATAACTATTAATCTCTGGTTAATTACGACTACAGTGCTGCCTAGTGTGCATTAATACGACAATAGCCGTATTATGCGGCAATGCATGGTCATACCATGACAAAAAATTGATACTACTTCTAGTACGTACTACTATTATTTATTCTGTGTTTTTAAAATATTGTAATAAAAAAAAATCTCTCATTATTATTATAACCAAGTATTTAAGAAATTTGGTTATTCGAATATTGTGTATTTGTACAGCGATCTTTTTGAGCCGCTGCAAGCAACCAAAGAGAATATAACCACTACGCAAGCAACCGAAACAATGTCCACTCACGACAAACGTCAGTTTCTCTATCTGGTCAGTGCTCACGACGCCAACTGCATGAAGTTATAGATAAAGATCTATAACTTCATGGGCAACTGACACCGAACTCATAGACTAATATATAATACTGGAGAACCGAACTGATTGAGGAGTGAGTGAGTAAAGTACTCTGTGGCTGTAGCTCGGAGTGCGGCTTCCGCCTATTAAGAAAAATAATTTACATACAAGGCTATCAAATCAACGAAAATTTCGCCATTTTGGAGCCGAAAAAAATTAATTATAGCTAAACAAAACAAAATTACCCTGCCATTTCACATCACATGCCATGCACATTCAGTGGCTTCCCACATGATAGATGAAGAGATTAAAAAATAGATTGAGTTAAACAATTGATATTTTTAAAAGTTATCGTGTTTACATCCTTGAGAACTTGATAAATCCACACTATAAGTCACTAAAACCCCTTTTTTATTTAAAAATAGCAATTAATCGATTTAAAAAAAATTTATAAGTTCAACAATCATTTATCTTTCTAACAATAGGCTTTTTATATCATTTATATGTATAATATGATTGCTAGATACGATTTCATTCGATAAAACGTTGGAATCTTAATTTTTAGGCGATAGTAGAACATACCTTGTGCTTTCGCTTAAGGCATGCAATATATTTTTACTGAAAACCTTATGTATTTTGTATTTTGATTCATAATCGAGGATAGATATTTATGTGTATGGGGCACAGCATGCACTTACCACCAGGTGGAAAAAATTGATGGAAGTATTATTTACCCTCATTATCTTTATATTTCTGCCATCTCGGGAGAAGATAATCCATGACATTGCGATAGAACCCTTGGGATCTGAACTTTACAGTCTATGAAGGCATTTGGTATCGCTTCCTGATAACAAAATTTCTTCACTGCTCAGAAATTGCGAAATTTTCTGTTATTAATAGCCAGGTTAGGTCAGAGGACCGTCAGCTGATTAATGAACACCAATACGGTTTCCGTCGTTTGAAATTATGCAATTGGATCACCAGTTTTCTCGCAGATCAAAGCTACAGGGTTGTAGTAGACGGTGCATGCTCCGACTATACGTATAAGTCGCGGCACGTATGTCTAGCGGTGACCGTTATTGCGCATAAATCGAAAATAAGGTATCATGAGGTAGTAAGCGGGCGTGCGTATCCTACGCACGCGCTGATTGACTCTTCACTTCTATATACCTAGTTTGTGCTCTCCAGTCATAGCGGTGACGCTCTCTGTACGTGAGAGTTGAAGCGCTGGTGACATTAGGCCGGAGCGTGTAACGCTAGGGTTGATACCGAACCGAAATGGAATATTATAGACTTGTGCCAAAGAAGATACATAATAGGTATACGTTATATAATGTAAACTTATGTATTTAGATAGTGAAAGATACGATTAATTTTAAATCAACTTTTATTAAATATCTTTACAGATGGGAAAAATAAAAATTTCCGACAAAACAAAATATGCACGACAGTTAATGGTAATCTTAAATAATAATTAACCAACACTTAGTATTTCAGTACGTAATAATCAGTATTACCTACTACCCTTTAAAAATTACTTACTCTTATATATTTTTGGCTTTTTCGATGACTTTTATAATTTTTATTATTATTTCTAACAATTGAAAAAATTCGTAGCCATATGTATAATTTTTTTAGAAAATCCATAGGGAAGCATAGATAGATAGATAGATAACACTTAATTGTACGCCAAAAATAACATAAATATTAACAAAAAATTAGAAAAATAAATGTGGTACTGGTACAATTGGTGGTCTTATCGCTAAGAGCGATCTCTTTCAGACAACCTTTGGATGGACAGGATTGCAAGAAAACAATAAAAACGTATGTGGTTTGGCGACAAAAATAACATTATTTTTATTAAAGCCATAAAATAGAAATACAGAATGGTATATAAGTACATAGATATATATATTTTTATATACAAATATATACTTTAAAACTATTATATATAACATAAATGTGCCATACATATAAATAAATATTGTAACTAAATAAAGGTAGAATAATTATATACAAATGATTAGGCATTGTTTTTGTATAAAGCGCAGCCCTCAGCCAGGGCATTCGGCGACGGCCCGGCCCAGACACTCGCACATAGCCGCAAGTGATTTTACGTGCACACATGCTTAAGTGTCGTTTCTTTTCGCGTAGTGTATGTATCGGTGAGGCTCACAGAAAATGTACCACAACACACTGGAAATAGATAACATACTGGAGATATTCTTAAGA